CAACAAAGAAGAAGTTAGGCAAAGATGCCAGGAGGCCTCCATGGAGCTCCTGGCTAAAACTGAAACACAAAAAGGAAGCCTACAGATGGTGGAAGCAAGAACAGCAAACCTGTGAATAATAGAGACATTTTCTGAACATCCAGGGATTGAATTAAGAAAGCTAAGGCCCAGATAGAATTGAATCTTTCTAGGGACGCCAAGGGCAACAATAAGGGTGGAGCATCAAAGGATGGAGCACCTCTCCAGAGGCTGAGAGATTTGGGACTGTTCAGCCTGAAGGGAATATGCAATGAGAACAGAGCCAGGCTCTTTCCAGTGGTGCCCAGTGCCAGGACAAGAAGCAATGGGCACAAATTGGAACACAGGAGTTTGCATCTGAACAACAGGAAGCTCTTCTTTAATGTGTGGGTAATGGAGCACTGGCACAGGTTGCCCAAAGAGGTTGTCTCCCTTCTTGGAGCTCTTCAAAAGCCATCTGTCCATGGCATGGGCACCCTGCTCTGGGTGCCTTTTCTTGAGCAGGACTGTTGGACCAGATGAGCTCCAACCTCAACCACTCTGTTATCTTGTGAGTCCATGATTCAATAATACCTTTACCACATTGCCAGTTACTGATTCAGAAAAAAAAAACAAACAACCCACTAGAGAATGAGTAACAATGATGAAACTGTAGAAATATCTTGTTTTCTTTAATTCACTGATATATATATTCCTTATAATACATTTAAAATATCTTATTTTAAAAATAAAAATAAAGTTGAAATTCAAACTAGATACATTGACTGGAACAATTTTTAAATTAATTGTACAGGAAATTGTAGCAAATCGTTTTCATGAAAGGACAAAAAAGTTTAACTGTTGGCTTTTACCATAGAGAAGAAGAACAGACTTTTTCCCCCTTGTAAAATAAAATAGTCTTTTTTAACAAGCACTTCAAATTGAATGATTGCTTTTATATTTCCAAAACATAATTTGAAATGAAATGTTCTCAGCTTGATTTTACCTGAGCAGAGCTAAAATGAGTGCTTTTCCTTCTTTTATTTGCATGCAAATTGAAAAATAATGCTCAGCCAAAACAGCACAGTGGCAATTGGCCACAAATGATATCAAAACACATAAATTTATACTGTATCATTTTGATTAAAGTACAGAATAATTTTGAAAGATCTTATGAAAGAATCACAACTTTCTGACAATTACACAGTATATTTGTAAACTAGTTTCTGTAGTTGAAAAACTTTTTTTTTTAATTTTTATTTTTTATTTAAAGAAGCTTTATTAAGACAGTTTTGCAAGCATGACCAGATGCAAGCAAGTACTTTGTCTTGTTGAACTCCTTTTTTTCAGACACCCAATGCAAGAAAACATACCATTAATATTCTTTTTTTTTTTTTTTTTTTCTTAGTTCTCCTGCCTGGCATTTAACATGTCATTGAACCTGATGGTTGACTCTGAAGTGTTTTGCTGTTCTTATGGATGTTATTGGTTATGAATATTTATTACTTTTGGACAAAAAATAAAATCTGTACCTCTCAAGAATGTGGCTCTGTGAGCATGTTTATAGAAGTATTGTTATAGCAACCACTACAGGTAATTGGAACCAGAATGTCTTGGGCCTGTGAGTGATACATATTTTATAGTTTGTCTTCTATGTTGTAAAAGGTTTAGGGATTATGAGCTTGTTTGCTTTCTGTCCTACAGTAGAATTGCAGTGAGTGAAATCACAACACTCAAAGGTTTGGGGGGCAGGGGAAGGATTGCACAAGCAGTGCAATAATAAAATTGGCTGAGGAAATCGAGGTCAAGAACAGAAACACACAGAAAAAAATTGTTTTGGTGGTATTGTTTATATTCAATATTGGAGTCCAGATGAGGATGATACGGATCAAGAACATGATTGTAGTATGGTGCGTTTATATACAGTGAGAATGAAAAGAGAAATTCACAGGCTAATACTTCAGTACTGTTCTTGCAATACAGGAAATGAATCTCTGACAAGTAATATACTCATTTCAGAGGGCAGGTTTACTTGTCTACTGTATTATGGTTTTGTAATTGTGTCTGAATTTAGCTGCTTCTTAGCCACTGGAAACAGATCATTCTGCCCTGCAATTACAAATATTGATTTACAATGACATTTGCCTCTTGTAAAGTGTTTCAGTAGCATCTGCAAAAGCAGATGATGCAGAAGCATTAATCTCTCCATATCTCTGATTTTATTTATTTATTTATTTTATTTTATTTTTGCCTCGAAATGGCATAAGCAACATAACTGTGATGAGTAATTCAAAAAAGGTTTATATTTCTAAAATTCATTTGTAGAGGCTGTAGGCATACAAATTAAGATTCTATGAGACCCTAGGAACAAAAAGTATCCTATTTTTACATGTTAAGCAAATAGAAGTAATAACCCACAAGCTGAACATCCCATTTGTTGGTAAAAAATGGACCTTGAAGTATAATTGAAGTAAAACTCATGTAAGCTACAAGAGTGTTTTTGATATACAAAATAAACTAGATGAGATTCATTAGCAAATTTATCAGTGCTCATGTCCTGTATTCAAGTCTGCAACCAGATCTGAAACCAGCTGTATTTCACATTCTTTTCTCCTTCATTGTGAATGTTTCTTATATTTATCTCTATTTTTCCTATACAAAACATGTCACACAAATAGTTTCAAAATAGCATCCAGAAATAAAATTCACCAAAAAGTTTCAAAATAGCATCCAGAAATAAAAGATCAGATTTCCAAAACACTACTAAAAGAAACATTAAATAACAATCTAATACTGGTAAGCCAGGGAAAGAATGGATTTTGAGACCTCGTCTCTGTGTAACTGATTATTCAAAATTTCTTCTCTCATTGCTGAGGGTGAAATGTCCCCCATTACTTTTCATAATTTCTTACTTCTTGTAAAAGCAATTGATATGCTCAGTTTAATGTATTTTTGAAAGCCAGAATATTTTGCAGATGATACAACAATAAATAATATTATCTTCAAAAATAACATAGGAGAAAAATCTGCTATGCAAAATAACCATGTAATATCTAGGGTTCTTCCTACACCATTTATTTCACTGACTTTGAGATTTAGATGTGTTAATATTAACTACTTGTATGCTACTGATCTTTTGAAAGTGGAAGCAAATTCATTGTATTCCAGAAACTCCTATTTCTCCATTTGAAATGCCCCAAGAATCCAGGATATCCATACTGGGGTGGCAGATAATATACAGGACTATGTGTTTTTCTGAAGATGGAGTCCAGGAAGAATACTTATGGTGTGCTGTAATGTCTTGGGTGCTAATACACAGGACAAAACTCAGATAATGACTCACGAGCATCTGAATCTGTACTGGTCTGGATCTATACTGGACTAAATCCCCATTGTCTGTGCTTGCCATGGAAGCTCAGACATGCAGGTAAAGATTTAAATTTATATTTCTTAATGTGGAGCAAAGACTTAATCTTACCGCTGGTCAGATAAACCCCATCTGGAATTATTAACTTTCACACTACAGCTCAGGTCTGCCAGGTGGTTTGCACGTGGCCATAAAACCCTGTATAAAACACACATGGTACCTGTGTCCTTATGAAGTGCTGTGAAAATAAATACTTGTAATCTTGCAGGATTTAATGGTAATTGAGCCTTTAAACTTAAATATGTACTGACTGCAATTTTAGAAAACACAGTATTTATACAAAACATCACTTCCTTCACAGCAAAGCCATCATTAGCCACAGAACTGGGCAGCTTTGTTACTGAGAAGCTGAAACCTTTCCCTTTCAGTTATATTCATGCTCTTTATGGTCTTGAGCAACACTTATATCTCAAGTGGGAAAATTCTAATATATTTTTAGAAGCTTATTTGCATCATTCTCTCTCTCTCTTTCTTTTTCTTTCTCTGTATATTATGCACTGCCTGAACTTGCCAGCTCTGTGTTATAGAAATCACATCCTCTCTTCTATGCTTTTTCAGAGACCAGCAAGAAGTGAGGACGGCATTGCAAACTTGCACTACCATTGCATTTAAAATCTTTGCAACCAAACTAATATTGTGATAGGCATATATAGCTATTTAGCCATTTTTGGAATAAAACTTAAGAACATATTTAAGAGCAATAATCACAGAGGGGTGAGAGATGTCATGTCTTCAAATATTAGATAGATGTTTGCAAGCAGGTTGGTACATCCCAAACTGTGATAACACAAGAACAACACCTGGCAAGCTGTCCCTCCAAAAAGAGCCACCCAGCTGGGCTGAACAGTTGTTTGAAATTGGTCTAGTTTGAGACCGCCAGCTCCCTGCTTTCACTGTGGCTGCTGTGATCAAATTTGCCACGGCTTCCATTGCATTTATAACGTCGATAAATGGGACAGATGGATGCCAAAGTAATCTCTGTCTCTGTGGCAGTTTATCTAATTAAACATTTAGACAGAGAAAGGTATAATTGCAGAATAATCTATCTGCTTTTATCATGTGCTTTCCCTTAAGACACTCCTGCCTTTCCAAGGGAGCAAATAAACTTTGACAGATGTTTACTTTCAAAGTAAAAAGATAGTGGAGTTCTATTAACACAGACTATATTCAATAGCAAAGCTATTTTTTCTCTGCACTCGATGCCAGCATTCTTTATAGAACAAAGATTTTGGTGCTGAGTAAAATTTGATTTGCATGCCTGAGGGAATAATAAAAGAAACCTATTACGGAATGAAATGGACTGTAATCACATTGAGAGGATAGAGATTGTTCCTTGGGTGGGGAGGGAGGGAAGGCTACCGCCTTGTAAATGGCCTATTGAAGAAGAAAGCACAATGTTATCCAAGACACAACACGTGTCGATGTTTGAGGAATGACATACGGAACTGCTTCCCAGCAGAGACTTCCACTGCCTTCAGTTGGAGTCAACGTGCACTGAGCAGTTTTTTAAGGACAGAGAGAGAGAGGCACTGTCAGACACTGCACCAGAGATGTTAACACTGGGACGGAAAGGAAGAGCCATGCAGCCATTCTCACTGGATTATGCCTTAGCAAATGTTTACTTGAAAGGAGGTCAGCATCCAAGACAAGTTTTGCCTGTGGTGTGAACAGACCCTCAGTCTCTTGTTAGTTGCTGAAGTACTTTTAAGTATTTACTCCTGTAGGCACAATGAGGAAACTCCCTCTTCTTCCATTGCTGGTTTATTTCCAGGGAAATTTCTGGGTGAAAGGAATAACAGTCATTGCCCCATGTGAAATAAAGTCTGTGCTAGAACTGAGCATAACAAACTGACACTGAAACAAAGGAGACCTTGGGCAACAGGATCAGAGCAGTCCCCATAGCCTACAAAGCTTCTGGAGCAGGACTCCACATCTGCTCCCCTGGCCAGGATCCAGACTCAGTGCAAGCCAGACAAAGATTTCAATTACTGAAGGAGCAGCTGTTGCTCCAGAAGACAGGGGTGAAGCCAATCCCTTCTCCACATGCTACTCAAACTGCACAAAAAGCTGGCCAGCGGGCCAGAGCACAGCTGTATGGTGTAACTTAGCTTTTCAAGGAAAGGACACCAGTTTAATTAAGGTCTGTGCTTGCAACAGAGGGCTGAACAGTGCCCAGTTCTCCTCTTCTCTGGATCAACAGCAGCAGCACGAGCTTCTCATGTGTGCACGTACCTCGCCTCTAGCAGGGACTGGTCTCCGTTTCACTGCATCCCCTTCTGGCTCTGCTAACACTATTCTCAGTAAGTGACATAGTGCTGAAAATTATGGATGCTTCCTGCAGTCTTAAGAATATACAACAACATGTAAGCCCTGTAAGCTCGCTGTCACACTGGCTGTTCTTGTTAATGGAATTTTTGCATGGTTTTGTAGACAGACATGCTGAACTCTTAAAGGCTTTCTAATTCTTCTTGTTGTTCCTCCAACTGATAGTCCTGGTGCCAGTCCTTCTGCCAGCTTATTCTGCTGTGATATTCTAAGGAATTTCCCCCCCAAGACTGTGCAATATGCAAATGTAATTCTAATTGTATAGAGATCATTATTTTGGTTATATAACAATATACATTATATTCCCAGGCAAATGACTGATATTATAGGAGACGTCAAAAAAGCTAGTTACAAAAGAAGTTCAACAGCAAACATTAGAGAAGAATAAATAATACCAAAGCAGATCCTTTGTGATCTGAGGATTTGAATTGTCCTTGTTTCCAGAATGCTACATAAGTGATTGCAGTTGACAGCCACACTTGTAGTGATGGGCGTAATGCCATTCATTGCTTTTATACTTGAATGACTTGGATACTACACAGTCTGTCAAGTCTAAATCTATTTAAGTCATGACAATTTATGTTACACTACAGTACATTACTTGTTTTGATCATAAGACTAAAACCATTCTTGCATGAAATAAACCAAAACTTTTCAAAGAAGCAAACAAACAAACAAGCAAGTGGTGCTCTTTTTCAAGCAACTGACATTTTCCTGAGTATGAGTATGACCAACTATGAATCCAGAGGGGCAATGCAGAACACCAGACCTTCCTCTGTTCGTATCCTGAAATGTTCAGATGAGTGCTGTCAAGCATAAGCAAAATCCTGCACACTAGGTAATACAACTGGTGTGAGATCAGACTTGCAGACAGCAGGTTCCCTTTGAAGTAAAGTGCTTAATTTATTGCCTTTTGCCTGAATGTGGTCACTGCAGTATTCAGTTTTCTATTTTTTAAGGTGTGAAGTAACTGAAAGATGTGTATAGCAGATGTCTGGGCTGCTTCTTTGAAATGTCAGCTGCCAGAGAAACAGGGATCACTCTCTTGGTCAGTCAGGGGAGAAATGAAGGAGTGAAAGACATTTACCAGAACAGCAAGACTTAACCCTAAATTCTGTGTGCAGCCATAAAATGAAATTCCAGCAGGACTAACTACTCTTCACCCATCCAAGACAGAAATATCAATAATAATTCTCCTCTTACACCAGCTCTTAAAAAACAAAATAAAACCTTTTCTACCCCACCACAGGTTCCTCCTGCCCTGTGTGGACAAGGACACTTTCATTTACATGAGACTCGGTGGATGTCCCTGTGGGCTCAGCCACAACTTTCTCACCCTTGTTAAATATCATGCTGGTTTGGAGATTCTCTCTGCTCCTCAGTGGCAGGTGTCTTGTGATACTGATCAGCCTTGTGATACTGATACAGCCTGGCCCTCAGAACATGAGTGCTGAATGGAAACATGTGGCCCTTCACAGCTGGTGAAGTATAAATGTTGGCTGAACACTGATCAGTGACATGTAGGAGGAGGAGGGTTGGCCTTCATCCTGCATGGTGGAGAACAACGGAGCTTTGCAATGGGGCTATGAACCATATCCTTCACATGGTTCTCTATGTGTTGTACTGCATCTTCTAAAGAAAAAAACAGAAAGGTAGAAAATCAAATGATAATTGATCATTAACATGATAAGTAATAAACTGCTTACTGTTCCAATATATGTTGAGAGACATTTTATTAATTTTTTTAAAGTCTAATGTGGAGACAAATTCTGCATAAACTTTGAAAAGAAAAAAAAAAATGAAAGGCCTGATTCATTCCTTTATCAAAAACTGTAAATAATTTCTTAATCTTCATTTGCACGATAATTTTTGACATATAACTTCATTATTGGAACATCCTGTTACTCAGTTATTCCCAGACATGATTTAAGAAGCTTTAACAAAAAAAAAAAAAAAAAAAATAGAAAGCTTCACTTTTCTATGATAAATCCCCCTCTAACAATTTTCATATTTTCCAGATAATCTTGTTCTTCCTGTACTTTTAAAAATAAATAAATAAATACATATTTTAAAAATCGGGATTGCAAGTTTGCATGTCTTTTTCTCTCCATTTTTTTTCCTTTCTTGATTGCTACTTTGTTTTTGTCTAGAATCTTCTCTTTGTGTCTCTGTTACAAATATGCTATTCCAGGCACAAAGAACTCTGTGAAAAATCTGGTTATATGCTTAGCTTATAATAAAAATGTAAAGCTAAAGATTTGGATGAATTTGGGAAAACTAATACATCCATGAAATTTCTTTGTTTAAATAGAAACCTGGATTCCTTGGCATGGCAGTGAGATCAGTGGCAAATCCTATTAGCTAGTAGGATATTGAGTTGGGGAGATGGGAGGAGAGGGGCTATGCTGTATGACTGCTTTTAACAACTGCAATGAAATGGAAGCTCAAGCAAACAGCTGCAAGCTGATGAAAATTTGCAGGCCGTGCTGAATGGAGAAGTGTTGAGAATACCCAGGGAGCGAGACAATTAAGATAAGCACCTCCAAAAAGACCAGAAAGAAGTCAAGAAAGAAGTCAAGAAAGAAAGAAAGAAAGAAAGAAAGAAAGAAAGAGGATGAGATTCAATTCTTAAAATTAAAAATAAAATAAAAATTCAACATGACTATATGTAATCAAGGAGCAAAACCTGACAATAACATCTTTTGCAAAAGGATTTAGGTGAAACTTAGAGAGCAGTGAGTTCAACATGAATTTATAATATGACATGGTTGTTAAATACAAAAATCAACAAAAAGCTGGCATTTTTTGTTCCATAAAGGCATCTTTTCACCTAAGGATATTGTTATCTACCTATCTACACATTTTCTATTGAAAGAAGAAGAAATACTCTTCTGTGCAATACTACAGTGAAAGCATATTCAGTCTGCTTTTCTCATTATTGGAAAATGTGCTGAAAAATTACAGAGAGTTGAGAATAAAGTGCTGACAGTGGTTAAAGATGTGGAGGAGTGGCTTGTGAGAACACTCCTAAGGGGGTTCTTACACGATCTTGGTTTTCTTTGATGGCAAAGCTGCTCAAGACATTTGTTCAGTCCTCCTGGCCCCTGACTGCTCATTTTCTTTCTCCATGCAGCAGGTTCCTGCTCCCTCAGGTCTGCCAGTGCAACTGCTTTATGTCTGTGCTGGAAACCAGATCACTGAAAACTTTAATTTAGAAAAAAAGAACAAGAAAAAAAAAGTTTTCTTCTTTTATAATAGTCTTTCCACTCAGCTGCGTTTACTTCTCCATGGGTTCAGGACTGGTCCCACAAATTGTTGTAAGAATACATCCAAAGGAGACCATTTATGGGATCATGTTTTGGGATCGCAGTCAAGAGCATAAGGAAAAAAAAGACTCTTGAGAAAGATTTCACTGCTTAGGGAAATTTGGATGGCTTTACTAGGTGTAGTGACCTCCTACTGATGTTCTTGTTGTACATGAAGGCAAAACCTAGGAGAGGCAAAGTATTTGGCAAAAACTGAAAAACAAGGGTCATAATAGTCTACAGATGTGTGTATAGTATGAAAAAAGAGATCTCCCTGATAAAAACCTTGAGACTAAAATTATGATGAAAATTGCACTTTGAATATCATTCAGCAGTCTGAAAGTGGACATGATCTGTCATGGAAAAGAACTATGAAATATTTGAAAATGGGCAAGGGAAGTCTCAAGAAGAATTGTCTACAGAAAAGGATCAGGTTACAGAAATTAAGGATTCTCTTTCTATCTTTCTATGTTGACCATGATGTTATATTTCCCAATAAAAATATTTACTAAAGGATTAGCTTTAGATTACAGATATTTCATTTTAGATGCTAGAAGTACTTTAAAAGCATGAGTTCTTTTTTGTTTGTTTGCTTACTTGTTTTTCAGTACCTTTCTACTGCATGCAAGAGAAAATTGAATTGCTAAATTCTGTGCTTTTCTGCAGCAATAAAGATTAAATTAAGTTGTTTTATGAAGGAGTGAAAAGTTCTCCCACATTTTAATATTTTTATTTTTTGTTAAAAATTGAGATTGACACAGTGTTTTCTGAAACTGAAAGATAGAGATCTGGAAAAATCTGTGGAGAAACATCTCTGAAGAGTCAAATGAAAATGGAGGAAAGGGAACAGTTTTAAAAATCTATTTAAATTTATTTGGATGATGCTTTAAAAATTGCTGTGGAACCATTGATGAGAATTAAAGTATTAAGAATATCCATTCATCACGTTAAATAGAGTTCCAAGAGTATGGAAAGAACTTGTTTGGAGTTTACTTTTAAAGTATCTCCAGTTAGATTTACCTCACAGATCTAGTTGGTAAAAAATGGCACATTTTATATTTGCTGTCAATATGAGCAGACCCATTAATGCCAGTGCTGCATAGCCCATGAAATAATGCAGCTTGTACACAATGAAAACAAAACCCATATGTAGCCCTTAAACATGGCAGTGGATGGTATGGGAAAAAGGAGTGTTTATAGTGAAGTGATAGAGTGGCTTCTCTTCTACAATCCCTCAGTCAATGCAGGCACAACACAGGCATCACAGCTGAACAGACCACTCTGCAATGCTTTGCAAGCAGTCTGCGTTTTACGAGGCTGTTTACAGCAGTGGCTTAGAGCCAGGCTATTTTTACACTCCTTTCTCCACAAAAAAAAAAAAAAAAAAAAAAAAAAAAAAAGCATGTGAGAACATGATGGACAATTTCATATGCATAGCTGAGTTAATACAACTGAGCTTTCTTTGGTGTTAATAAAGAAGAGAGGAAGTTGGGAAAAGGAGGAATTTGTGGGACATGCCAGGCGGTTTTCAGTCATTAACAAAGAATTTCTCTTCTTCTACCCCTGTCTCCCCCAGAAGACTGTGAAAACTATAGGTTGAGCAAGGTACAAGTTGTGGATAAATGGATAAGTGGTTGTGCTGCACAAATGGAAAGGCTGTTCCTCCGGGCATTTACTGGAGAAACCTCTACCCCCTTTCATAGGTTCCTCTTCATTTTCAAGTGTTGAGGTATGGGCCCTGTAAGCCGAATGTTTAGAAGAAGTAGCAGTTTCCACCTTTCTGTCTTACACCACACAACCATGTAAAAGTACCCTTCTCTGTTTTTAAGTGGATATTCATATGGCCCTTACACCACCAGACTGCTCTTTTCCATCACCAGGTTGCCGACCTGTTGTTATGGGCACAGCTTGGCTTGTGTGGCTGCTTCAGCTGAAGACTCTCCAGGGACTGTTTGACCTCAGCATGGAATATAAGGCTACACAGCGAGTTTTGGGTGAGAACTGATGGTTGCAATGCTTATGAGATGTTAATACTGTCTAAGAGGCAAAGAGCGTTGCATTATTGTAAAAGCAGAAATGTGCTTGAACGGATACTGTTCACTGGCGTGTAGAACATTTTCCAGCTCCTCTATTAAGAGTGACTAGAAGCATAGAGGACATTATGCTGTATGAGGATAGCAGAAGATTTACAAATTCACCATTACCTTGCATAGCTCAAGAAAAAAAAAAAAAAAGTAAAAAAAAAAAGTATATTGATGTTTACTGATTATAATGCTGCAAGTCTTTTTATATACAGAGCCATACTGACTTTATACACGTTTAGCATCTGTTATGACTGCAACCAAAATTTTATTGATGTTCTCTTTGGAGGCAGACAAAAGAGGGAAGGTTGGGGGCAAACTTTCAATACAAAAACTATCCTATAATAATCTGTACTGACTTACTTTTCCTTTGAAAATAAATATAATTAAACCATGGAAAGGTCTCTCTGAAGCATAACTAATGTCCTCCATACTTTAAATATACTAGCTTTATGAATGAGATTTGCTTCACTTACTCAATTATACAATTTAAAAATTTGGGGTCCATTTTACAAGTCACCTAGATTAGTTCTATCAACTGTAGAAACTGCTTCCACAGGTGTGAGTCACACCATTTTCTTTAAGCTGTCTCTAGATGGGATGAACTGTAGAGGAAATAATCTCTCTCTATTGCCCACTAAAAGATTGTTGTTGACTAGCTCATATGACTGAAATTTGGAGGAAAGGAACTATGCTCCAAGTGTCTCTATAGTGACTCATTAAGATAGTAAGAAAATAGACACATTTTTCTTTTGGTTGTTTTCACCAACACTTTAAGCAGTTTTAAAAATTCAAAACACAAATAAAGAAAAAACAAACAAACAAAACACAACTTGTAATAAACCACTAGTTTCCTGTTGAAAATATAAGGTTTTTGAGAAAAGAAGAAACTTTCTGCAAACATTTTTATTTAGCTCCAAACTGAATCATTCATAGATGCAACCCATAATGTGTTTATAGAAATATTTCTGAGAATTAGAAGCTAATACTGCCATTCATTTGAGATAGTTCTATAACACGAAATTTGAAACTGATCAAACAGCAAGTTTTTGCAGGAATAGCGAGCTTGTCTAAATTCAGTTCTGTAAATTTAGTTGACTGTACCTTCTGCTGAGTGAAATGCTGTCCTGTAAATTGTAACTACTTATGACTGAATGGCATATTCCTCTGTTATCTTGAACCATGTAGAAGTACCTTGATAAAGGAAACCGAAGAATTAGCAGAGCTGCCTGGCAGAGAAGGACCTGGGAGTATTGGTTGATAGTCGGCTGAATATGAGCCAGCCGTGTGCTCAGGTGGCCAAGGCCAACAGCATCCTGGCTTGTATCAGAAACAGTGTGTCCAGCAGGACTAGGGAAGTGATTGTCCCCCTGTACTTGGCTCTGATGAGGCTGCAACTCTAGTTTTAGGCCCATTGTTACAAGAAGGACATAGAGGTGCTTGAGTGAGTCAAGAGAAGGGCAATGAAGCTGGTGAGGGGTCTGGAGAACAAGTCTTAGGAGGAGTGGCTGAGGGAGCTGGGATTGTTCAGCCTGGAGAAAAGGAGACTCAGGGGCAACCTTATTGCATTCTAGAGATACCTTAAAGGAGGCTGTAGCGAGGCGGGGGTTGGTCTATTCTCCCACATGCCTGGTGACAGGACGAGGGAGAATGGACTAAAGTTGTGCCATGGGAGGTTTAGGTTGGATATTAGGATGAACTTCTTTACTGAAAGGGCTGTTAGGCATTGGAATAGGCTGCCCAGGGAAGTGGTTCAGTCACCATCTCTGGAGGTCTTTAAAAGACGTTTAGATGTAGAGCTTAGTGATACGGTTTAGTGGAGGACTGGTTAGTGTTAGGTCAGAGGTTGGACTCGATGATCTTGGAGGTCTCTTCCAACCTAGGTGATTCTGTGATTTTGTGATTCGCTTTGATCTGACTGTTCCTGACCCAGCAGTCATTCAGGTCTCACAGAACCACAGAACCACAAGATGGTTGAAGTTGGAGTGAATCTCAAGAGGTCATCTAGACCAACCATTCTGCTCCAGAAGGGTCACCTAGAGCAGGTTTCCCAGGACCATGTTCTGACAAATTTTGACTTTCTCCAACAACAGAGACTCCACAATCTGGACAGCCTGGGCAGGGGCTATGTCACTTGCACAGTAAAGTGCTTCTTGATGTTCAGACAGAACTTCTTGTGTTCCAGTTTGTGCCCATTGCCTCTTGTCCTGGCACTGGGAATACCTGAAGAGATCCTGTCTCTGTCCTCATTGCACCCTCTCTAGAGGAATTTATTTACCTTGATAAGATCCTCCCTGAGTCTACTCTTCTCCAGGATGAACAGTCTTAGCTACTTCAACCTTTCTTCATAGAAGAGATGCTCCAGTCTTTTAATCATCTTAGTGGCCCTACGTTGGACTATCTACAGTAGCCCCATGTCTCTTGGGTACTGAGAAGCCCTGAGCTGGAGGTAGTACACCAGATGTAGCCTCGCGAGTACTGAGTAGTGAGGAAGGACCACTTTCCTTGATTTCTTGGCAATATTTTGGCAAATGCAGTCCAGGATCCATTAGCCTTCTTTCCAGCAAGAGCACATTGCTGGCTTACATTCGACTTGATGTTAACTTGATGTCAACTTTAACATCTTTTTTGGTGACATGGACAGTGGGATCGAATGCACCATCAAGTCTGCAAATGACACTAAGGTGAGTGCTGTGTTTGACACGGAAGAGGGAAAGGATGTCCTTCCTTGACAGGCTTGAGAGATGGGCCCAGGTAAACTGCATGAAGTTCAACATGGCCAAGTGCAAGGCCCTGCATCTGGATTGGAGCAATCCCAAGCACAAATATAGGCTGGGTGGAGAATAGATTGAGAGTGGCCCTGAGGAAAAGGACTTTTGGATTTTGGTTGATGAGAAACTCAATGTGAGCTGGCAATGTGCCCTTGCAGCCCAGAAAGCCAACTGTATCCTGGGATGCATCAAAAGAAGTGTGGCCAGCAGGTCGAGAGAAGTGATTGTCCCCCTCTACTCTGCTCTTGTGAGACCCTCCCTGCAGTACTGTTTTCAGGTATGGAATAAGAAAGACAGATGTGTTATAATGGGTTCAGAGGACGAACATGAAGATGATCAGAGGGATGGAGTACCTCTCTTATGAAGACAGGTATAGGAAGAAGAGACTCCCTAAAGGGAGTCCACAGGAAAGCTAGAGAGGGACTCTTTATCAGAGAGTGTAGTGATAGAACAAGGCATAATGGTTTTAAAAAGAAAGAGGTTAGATTTAGATTAGATAACAGGAACAAATTCTTCATTCATAGGGTGATGAGGCACTGGAACAGGTTGCCCAGAGAAGCTGTGGATGCCCCATCCCTGCCAGTGTTCAAGGCCAGGCTGGATGGGGCTTTGGGCAACCTGGTCTGGTGGGAGGTGTCCCTGCCTATGGCAGGGGAGTTGAAACTAGGTGGTCTTCAAGTTTCCTTCCAACTCAAACCATTCTATAATGATTCTATAATTGTATGTCAACTAGGACCCCCAGGATATTTTCTTCAAAGCTGCTTTCCAGCTGGGTGGCCCTCAGCATGCCCTAGTAAGTGAAGTTTTTCTTCCCCAGATGCAGAACTTTGCTCTTCTCCTTGTTGAATTCCATGAGTTTTCTGTCAGCTCATTTTTCTAGCCTATCCAAGCCCAATTGAATGGGTGCAAGATACTTTGGCATATTGGCCACTCCTCCTAATTCCGTGTCATCTGCAAACCTGATGAGGGTACACTCTGTCCCAACATCCAAATTGTTAATGAGGATGTTAAAATCCCATCTCCCGTGGAAAGGGTTGTTTCTGACTTGTTCCTCTAAACTAAGGCTGTTCAGCATGTCTTTATATCAAAAACACACCTTTTGGGAACTGCATCGGTTTCAAAGGAACATTGTTTTTTGAAAAGAAAATACCTGTAATCTAGGACAAGTCTTGTGGTTATATCAGAAATTAGAGACTAGATATGAATCTTAGAACATCTTTCTACAATAATCCTATCAGGAGAAAATCCTTTTCCTCCTCCAAAACAGGCAGACTGGACTTCAAGGCAGTAACATATGTTAGCAAAATTCCCTGCTTTCTGGCTGTTACTGAGAACCTCTCCTTCCTTCAGAGAATTTTAAAAGACAGCAAGTCTGGACTATAAAACATTTTCTTGATCTGCACTAACAAATTATCCAAAAGACAGGTAGGTGCAAGTGAGTGCAGGCTCCAGACCATGTGAGCGCTTAAATAAATTCATCTTTACCCAAGGACAGCTCTCATTTATATCCAGTGTGGGCTGAACTTGCTTACTCAGACAATACTTTGTCCTTAACTTTCCCTTAAATACCCTCTCAGAAAACAACTTTCCTTTCTTACTCATAAGCCAATTTCCATTAAAATGCTACATTGGTCTTTATAAAAAAAAAATAGCAAAATAGAAATAAATTTGGGGAAGGATGGCATGGCACCACATTTGACAGAGCCATGAATCACACTGTTCAGATGAATGGTTATCCAAAGCCATTAAAAGTGCTTCCATACCCCAGCACAATGCATTGTTTAGAAAGAGTCATACTGGGCTTAGGTCTGCTCTCTGTTTCACTTATTTCATAATGAGCTTTAGCAGAAGTTACTTTTGATTTATGTTGGATCAGGGTCAGACTGGGAACTTTTTTATCCCTCCGTAGTGTTAGCTTCATCTCATAAATAACTTTAGCACCCAAAACTACAGCAGAGAAGGATCCAAACAGTTACTACAGTATAACCCTAAAATGCAAAGCTGCTCAAGGCAAATCAACAATTATTTTTAAAAGTACACTATTGGAAAATCATTATTTCCCCCCCCATAGAAAGCAGTAAAAAAAAAAAAAAAAAAAGTCAACAACAAAAAAAGACAAAAAGTCATTGATGTTTAAAACAG